ATTGGTCAAATACATTTCCGCAGAACATCTAATAAATGTTTACGCCCATGGTAAGTATAACAACTATAAAAAACCCACTGAGCATCCTTAACACAACAAAAAAAAATTATTTTCTCTTTCCAGTTTGCTTCTTCCTAATCGTCTGCAGAAGCATCATATCTTTGGAAATCCGATCAATCGGAGAAGTCATCAGTTACCAGGCTACACAACGAACGAAATTTATAGTCGGAGTGGGAATTATAAAATCAAAAACAAGTGAAAACGAAAACATCACCTTCAACATTACCCAATTTATCCCAGTAGACGTCGAAGATACATGTTACGTCACTTCGATGTCCCCAAACGATGTCGTCTACTTTTACGGGACTGTCACAAAAGTAGATTCGTCGACACAAACAATTAACATCACCTGCTCACACTCGAGAAAAATTTCCTTAGACCCATCGTCTATCCCCATGATTTCACTTATGTAACAGCCATTGGTACGGTTTCCAGTAAACCCAACATTACAGAAGGGACTATTTCATTCGATATAAATCTTTCCCAATACGTAAAGACGAACACGGGAGGAGCATACCAGCCGTTCACAGTAACAGTCTTCCACTCAACAAAAATAAAACATTTAATGAATCGCACAAAGGTTTATAATGTCGGCTCTCGAGTAAAAATCGAAGGCGCCGTAGAACTATAGAACAACATTATATTTTGTGAACTACAACAATCAACATTCGTTATCCCAAAAAATATCTCCAACGACGCAAACACCAACACGAACACCACAATCTCATCTCCGTCATCTCGCCGAGCCGCTATTGTCCGAAGCATCCAGAACAGTCGCCCCCCCACCAAAAAACCGAAACTTATCAATACCCCTACCACCTCAAGTACTGCCACGCCAGAAACTGAATCGAACAGTTCCACGCAAATCGAAAAAGATAATCTTAATGAAGACGTATCGAGCGACGCTCAGCCTGCACAGACACACACGCTAAAATCTTCATTTATAACAACCTTCAAACTTCAATAATAGTGCAAACTATCCAACATAGAACAATAAATTGTACCCATTTTACAGAATTTTACCAACAATAATACCTTTATTTCAGTAGCTAAAAGACATTATCAATAACTTATCATATAACAACTATTGATTGCCGTTTCTTATGTGAACTATATTGAATTACTATTAAAAATTGTCTTAGCAATGAAAATATAATTTACCATTTCAATGTCTACCAGCCAATACATAATCATGTCAAAAAAAGACTTAACGTTAAATAACTAAATTACCACTATAATATTAAACGTATTAGCATTATAAACCGTACATAAGTTAAAAAGGACAAACACTTAGACCCACCGTAACATGGTTGCTTTCTTACTTATTAACGTTTAACATTTTATCATAGATAACTTGCGTAGCAGGTTTCTACCAAACTAGTTTAATACAAGAAAAATGCCAAGAAATTTTCATCACGAATCGTGACGATCGACAAAAAAATGAAACGCAAGAACATTTATCGCAGAAGAGTCCAGGGAGCAAATCTCCAAATCATAGCTTTTCTGATTCTGAGCTCAAAAATGAATTAAATATTTTATATTTATTACTATTCGCAAACCCCCAGTTAAAAATTCTGTTGCTACTAATAATGTATAAATCGCAAGATATACTATTACAGTACCTTTTTTTTGCTCATGACAGAAATCCGACACCGTCGTCATAACCTAGACTTAGTGGAATGGAAACAACATAAATTATGTTATTTCCACTACTCGTGTTGTAATAGAATTGAGGTAAAATCTTAGGTAAACTTTGCACGTAATTAGACAATTAGTTTTTAAAGTCAGACGTCCAATTTTCAGGAAAATATAATAAAATATTTATCTAATGTAACAAGGATACAGTGCAGTAAGTTTGCCTAGATACAGAACGTATAATAGTTTTATACTTTGTTGAGCACTTGCTTTTTTATTTTCAGCTAAACTCGGCAAAGACAAATTATACCTAACCAATAATACCAGAATAACTTTTATATCTATATATCCCGCGCTTTTCAGGTAAAAATTGTCGAAGATTTGTTTTCAAACTCGTATGGGCATATTAATATAGTGTTTACAAACATAGTATTTGATTGAAAGAAGGAAGCTCTGAACAAAATTCGTGCAAACCCGTAATCACAAGTCAACATTTTGTGTCACTAAATTACAAGACAATTGATAACGTTAATATCATAGAATGACTGTATTTACACCAGAAAGTTTGTCTTCATACCTGCAGCTGAATCCAAATCATAACTATTTCTCGGTTTAGGCAAATCTCCAGTATGTAAGAGTTTACTAGAGTAT